ATCTTTATTTACAGAAGACTGTAAGATAAAATAAAATTACGTACTAGTTCATAAACAAATTATCCTGGCAAAAGAAAGTAGAACCCGCTCTTCAGAAAAATACAATGTAATCATACATCCCCGAAATTTCAATATCAAAACGATAACTTTTGTTAATTGCTGACTATAATATAATATAAAAACAATACAAACATAAGCATGTTCGATTTCACACGGTAGAGAGCATATAGCCTGTTGTGTATACACTAAGAAAACAACAACGCTTGACTCATAAATAAAAAAAAAAAAATAATCTTTTGAGTTGAGGTTGGGTTTGACTTTTTTTTTTCCTAGGCGTACAATATATTGGTGTGAAAAATCTTGAAGTTTGTTTATTGGTAAACACAATATATTGGTGTGAAAATGTTGTACTTTCTTGAAGTTTGTTTATTGTTATATCTGTGCTCTTTCCACGGCCGGTATCGAAACCCGATTTTGGATCTTTTCTGTTTCATGCACCGCGTTCAAATAGATATAAATATATATTTTGGAATGTAGTTTTTTAATACTGATTTCAGAAATATAAACTATAATTTGGAGAAATGAAAAGAATTTTTTTATTTTGCCACGTTAGGTCAGTTTATGTGAGGTTAGATCAAGTTAGACTAATTAGTAAACAATTACATGTTTATTTGAATAAAAAATGAATTTAATTTTTAAAAAATCTTTAAAAAATGGAAATAATTTCCCATTATTTCTTTCCCCTGTAAAAATTGATTCAACAACTTTTAATTTATATTTATTAAATCTGCAGCAAGTTTAAAGTACTTGGAATGTGGTTAAAGAGACGTAACAAGCGACATTGTGGAACCAATCGTTACATGATTGACTCGTATCTCTGGGAGTTCGTTTGGCGTCGTAGGCATGAAAATGATGATCTTTTCAAGCAAAACATTTAAGAAATATTTCTAAATTTTCACATTGAATTTGTTATATTGACACTAGATACATTGTATTGTCTTGATGTCTTGCAATTCTTTTAAATACATAGGTATATATGTAATGATAAAAGTACTTCCTTTGTTTCGTAAGCAAATTAAAAACATATTTAAAATATTTCTTTTAATTCCTCCAAATTTGAATTTATATTTCTGAAATCACCATTAAAAACTACATTCAAAATATATATTTATTTCTATTTGAACGCGGTGCATGAAACAGAAAAGATCCACGATTTTTTAGCATTATAAACCCTTAGACTTGCCGTTGAGCGACTTGGAATCACTGGAAAATACGATTATATTCTGGAATATATAAAGAGAAGTTAATGATACAAATCTTAGTAATCCATAACAAAGGGAAGCTAATGATACAAATCTTAGTAATCCATAACAAAGGGAAGCTAATGATACAAATCTTAGTAATTAAGATTTGTATCATTAACTTCCCTTTGTTATGAAAACTTCCCTTTGTTATGAATTACTAAAATTTGTATCATTAACTTTCCTTTGTTATGAATTACTAAGATTTGTATCATTAACTTCCCTTTGTTATGAATTACTAAAATTTGTATCATTAACTTCCCTTTGTTATGAGTTACTGAGATTTGTATCATTAGCTTCCCTTTGCTATGGATTACTAAGATTTGTATCATTAGCTTCCCTTTGTTATGGATTACTAAGATTTGTATCATTAGCTTCCCTTTGTTATGGATTACCAAGATTTGTATCATTAGCTTCCCTTTGTTATGAATTACTAAGATTTGTATCATTAGCTTCCCTTTGTTATGGATTACGCTTCCCTTTGTTATGAATTACTAAGAATTTGTATCATTACCTAGTAATTCATAACAAAGGGAAGTTAATGATACAAATCTTAGTCACTTTTACACTTAATGAGTAAGGGTTCAAGTCGCTGTTGATGTCGTATTTTATCCTCTAATTGAGATTGAAACTTGCTCAATGTAGGTATGATAATGCTTTCTGCTTAAATTAAAGACTTTTAAAGGGCATGTGATTTACACCAGGACACATGAAAATGCTATCCTTCCTTCGATATCACAGACAATTTTTCGTGACCATTAAAACACATAAAAAAGTTGAAGTCTGATATCAGCTATCTAGAGTTTGTCATCCTGAGAACACTCAGACATCTTGTTCCTTTACAGGTCACCATGTGTTTGATTCTCATCTGAGTACACGTAAAATCGCCCGTGTCTGAAAACGAACACGATTTTACTCTGGACACAGATGGCATGTAAGTTTTTTTTTTGTTTTTATTATATTATATATATATATATATATATACCAATAAAGATGATCGAGACTAAAGTAAACTGAATCTTAGATAAATAAATATCGGTTTTAAGTACAGTAAATAAATGTCAAAATTAACTACAAATGTTATAGACACTAAACTGGAGCGTATAGAAGTCCCATTTTAAACTCCGAAGGCAGATGTTTTTTGTTTGTTTTTTTCCCGCTCTTCTTAATTTGTCCGTTTCGGATTCAAAATCAAAGGTGTGTAAAAAATAGCATTTCAGGTTCTTTTGGTTCGATATCAGAATTTGTCAGTTGGACTGGATGAAACTCTATTTATATATGCAGTATAAGAGTACAAAGTTAGGTTTAATTATTGGGAGAAAAACAAATGTTAGAGCATGTAAGTTGTAACTTGATTTATGATTAGAACATTTTAGAGCTTAATATCTCAGCACGAACATGTTCATAACAAGTGTAACTTAATTTTATGACTTGGTTACATTTTAGAACCTAATTTCTCTGCATGATAATGTAATGTTGTTTTATGACTATAATATAAAATTTTTAGAACTTCTCAACATGTCTATGTTTATAATACTTGTTTGTTATGGATTTCGCGCAAAGCTACACGAGGGCTATCTGCGCTAGCCGTCCCTAATTTTGCAGTGCAAGACTAGAGGGAAGGCAGCTAGTCATCACCACCCACCGCCAACTCTTGGACTAATCTTTTACCAACGAATAGTGGGATTGACCGTCACATTATAACGCCCCCACGACTGAAAGGGCGAGCATGTTTGGTGTGACGGGGATTCGAACCCGCGACCCGCAGATTGCGAGTCGAGCACCCTAACCACCCGGCCATGCCGGGCCTTTATAATAATGTAAATAGCTTAGTTCTTATACTTCAAGTGTATTTATGCTGTAAGTTGTGATACAAATTAAGTATCCATTTTGAAAAACGTCATAAACTTGGTTTTCTAAGTGTGAACTGGATGGAAATAGTTGATTATCTGTTGTATGATAAATGTTGCTGGATATACGTAACACCGAGGACAAGTCAAGGCATCATATCAGTTATAGTTTAGTGAGTTACATAATTATCTGATAATCACGTTAAAATACACCTGAAATATATTAACGATTGAAATAAGAAAAGAAATAAATTAAAATAGCATTCGAAAGCCACAAAATCTAATGGTTTTCACAAACTTTGCACCTAAAACTATAGAATTTTCCTTATAAAATATAAATCAACTTTCTATTTTTTTGTTTTTTATAAAATGTTATTGAAAATAATGACAGTACTAAAAAATCGGCTTCAATGAACAATTACTTCATTGTAGTGTTTACTTTCCTTCAGATGAAAGATATGATTACACGAGCCTGGTGTTTACTTTCCTTCAGATGAAAGATGTGATTACACATGCCTGGTGTTTACTTTCCTTCAGATGAAAGATGTGATTACACGAGCCTGGTGTTTACTTTCCTTCAGATGAAAGATGTGATTACACGTGCCTGGTGTTTACTTTCCTTCAGATGAAAGATATTATTACACGTGCCTGGTGTTTACTTTCCTTCAGATGAAAGATGTGATTACACATGCCTGGTGTTTACTTTCCTTCAGATGAAAGATGTGATTACACATGCCATTCAACGTCGACTTGTTTCACATTTAACCACTCGTTTGATAGTGAAACCATAAACCTGTACCTTTTGGTTTTTGAAGTAAAACATTTACTTGGATGGAAATGTTGTTTTCCTAATATGATAGGAATATGTGTGAACAGATAACTCTATAAACCTAAACAAATATTTAAGAATGAACATTTATTAAACAAATTTGTTTCGCTGCTGGCAAATTTTAAATTTCTATATAATTCTATATAATTAAGACATTTGATCTTATCTAATTAACGATTCATCTAAACAAATTTTCGTCATTAGTAATTTAAAGTGACGAGTATATTTAGAACAAAAACTTTCATTGCTTCAAATTTTCGTCATTAGTAATTTACAGTGACTGGTATATTTAGAAGAAAAAAGACTTTCATTGCTACAAAATTTCGTCATTAGTAATTTACAGTGACAAGTATATTTAGAACAAAAACTTTCATTGCTTCAAATTTTCGTCATTAGTAATTTACAGTGACTGGTATATTTAGAAGAAAAAAGACTTTCATTGTTACAAATTTTCATCATTAGTAATTTACAGTGACTGGTATATTTAGAAGAAAAAAGACTTTCGTTGTTACAAATTTTCATCATTAGTAATTTACAGTGACTGGTATATTTAGAAGAAAAAAGACTTTCACTGCTACAAAATTTCGTCATTAGTAATTTACAGTGACGGGTATATTTAGAACAAAAAAGACTTTCATTGCTACAAATTTTCGTAATTAGTAATTTACAGAAAAAAGACTTTCATTGGTTGAGAAATGCGGCCTGAATACCTAAGTTCAAATAAAAAAAAATACAAATGTGAGAATGTAAATAGTTTTTCACATTTAGTTTCCCGCCAAGGTTTTCACAAGCGTGATAACCACATTAATATAAACTGTTTGCTAAATAACTTCTACTTCTTTCGCCTACTTTAAATTGTCTTGCTTGAAATTATAATCATATCTTTGGTGGAAGTCACTAGATTTACATAAATGATATATTATTTGTAAGAATAACGGCAACAATACAATGACTAATAACTACGAATATAATTATTTTTACACCTTTGGGTGAAAATCGAAATAGTGTTTCTGCGATTAAATTAGGCAGTATATTGTTTTTGTCGTATATGCACACTCATAATAACTACATATAGCAATATTAAATAAATTATTCATATGAGAAATAAAGAAAAATAAATTTAAAATAGACTGAAATATTTTATTCTAATATATAACTTCTACAGATGGCGCTACGGATGATGAGCGAAATATGTCTGGAAATTAGTTTCTCCTTGAGTTTGGGTTTACATTTAATGGAAACAAATTTGCTCCATTTAGTTTATTATGTATAATCGAAAGGATTAGCTGTTCTTCAAATCTCAAATATGAAACATTTAGGGCAGACGATAAAACTATGGACAAAAAATCCTAATTATGTGTAAATAATATATCAGATACCTATTATACATTCTCATCATTTTTATATATTAATTAATGGAGATTGGATCTACAAAATATAGTGTAATTACGAGGGTTTTGATTTCTTGCTAAAATTAAACAGGAGCAGTTAATTTCTTTAAAATAGTTTGTAGTTTCCCTTTGAAAGATGGCAACATACAACTTAGAATTGTATTTATATATATATATATATACACACACACTAAAAAGTTTGGATCCAATGTTTTAAGCGAAAATAATATTGTGTGTTTTAGCTTCGTTTTCAAGGCAATGGTACAGTTGTTTTTTTCTTGATAGGTGAACCTTCGGTAAGCTACATAAATAGATTTATTAACGTTTTCATCGCTGGTTGTGTTATTTCACACACTAGCCGCCAGAACAGTTTAACTGGCGAAGACCTCCTACCATCTTTGTCAGGGAAATTCTAGTAACATTAATAATCAAAGTTGGATCTCAGATATCGCCACTGTAAAACGAGAAAGCATTGTAAGGTTACATTCCTTGAAAAGCTAAAGACAAAAGAAAGTGATTTCACTAGAAACGTCAGCAAGTGGCGTTAAGTTAAATGACCAAAGTATTTATTATTATCTGTTTAAAGATGGGTAAGTATGTACTTTAAACGAGTTCAACTTAAAGTACTACGCATATCAAGCACTGTGTGACTCTGTTTTGTCCTCGTGGATGGCGCCAAGCCATCGGGGTCTCATTCCCTTCCAATGTCTCGTTACCATGGAGATTGAGAGATGAGATTGAGCTATTATCTTCTCTTGATCTTCTCTGGGATCTCTGAAAATATGCACCAGAGAAAGATAGCATCCAGCAACGTTTTTGTTTTAAAGATAAATGACGTAAACTAAGGCACTAAAAACAGTATTTCTGTCTCAGAATTAAGAAGTAAACAATTGTTTTAAGAAATCTTAAACTGAATAAGTCTTGTCGTGAAAATAAAACAGCAAAATTCAAGCCGTCTCAGAACTCTTATTTTATAAAAAGTACATTCCTCGTTATCAAGTTTTAATACTTTATAGACGTTTCGTTTACACCACGTGATAATAGTAGCTACATAAGGTAATTACTGATTCTTCTTTACACATTTCAACACGTGGGGTTAAGTTACTTATAAATTAAAATACTTGATCTCAGATAAAGCTTTTCTATCATTAAAAATAAGTAGAATAAAAAAATTAGTTTTACTATGTAACTTTATGCCCTAATGCCGACAAACATATTTTAACAAAGACTGAATCTTTCAATAACGTGCAGAGGCCATTAAAATGGCAGGGAGTCATTGGCGAAAAGGGCACTCTTCAAGCATCTCAAGGCAAGATTTATGTGGGAGGTAGGGAGGGGTTAATGGGAGAGTACGTGGACTGTGGGTTGCTTCTGTTATATATAGGATAAGATCCTCTTTTATTCCTATCCAATCAGTCTTTTAAATCTAAAACTAAAGTGGATTTACAATGTTAGAAACTGGGTTTCGATACTCGTGGGGGGACGAGCACAGATAGCCCATTGTGTGGCTTTGTGCTTAACTTCAACCAAACAAACTAAAACTAAACAGTGAATTATTGTGTATTAATACTTAATAGAAGGTCACAATTATTGTGTATTAATATTTAATAGCAGGTCACAATTATTGTTTTTACTGTAACATCCTATGTTCCATTAATTTTAAAATTCATAACTCACAACAAGCAAGATGTGGGCGTGTCTCTTATTAGTTAAGGGAAATATTTATGACTGATAAAAGGGGTGCTTTTGACTCAAAAGAGTAGAAAAGCGCAGGCTTTAGCCCACCCAGCCATTACCCTGTGCACGTCACTAGAATATTTTAATTTTGGGTTTTCAGATAAATATGTTTGATTTTCTCTAAAACAACTGTCAACTATATAAAAGTTATAAATAAGACTATTATTTGTTTGTTTGTAGTTAAGCACAAAGCTACGCAATGGGCTATCTGTGCTCTGCTCACCACAGGTAAGGAAACTCGGTTTCTAGCGTTGTAAGTCCGCAGATATACCGCTGTGCCACTGGAGGGCAATTAGGATGAAAATTACTAATGAAAATAATTGTATTTATTTTTTATACAAAATTATTCAACATAAATTTAAAGAGTATAAGAGTCGGGCTGCGGATTAAAAGGTCCAAGTTATGAGTCATGATATGCTGCTAATCAACTCCAACTTTCAAACGTGGGGGCGTTATAACTGTAACAATCAATCCACTAAGCATTTGAGAATAAACGTATAGGCAGCAAGTGATGCTTCCTGGTTGTGCTTCCAGCAGTTTAAAACCAGGGGTGGCTTTATAGTTCAGGTTGAAAATATCAAATATTACAATGTCTCTAGTTGAGGTAGATTTTTAAAAAAATCTTTCCTCACTATACTTCTTATGTAGCCTTAAATAAAGAATCTATAACTACAATATTTAAAGATACCTCTTCTAAACTAGTTGGTCCACCTTCTGTATTAATAGATCCAGTCCAGTATTCTGAGGCTATTGTGGCTCGAGGTGGTGAGTAAATCTTTACTTGAGTGTGTGGCGCCCTCTGTGAAACATCACAGGAAACATAATAAAAAATTCTTTCGGTGATATCATTAAATCTCTGCTCCCAGTCAGCCTGCCTGCCACTACCACCATGTCCTCCGATTCCTATGTTTAAAATTGGAATTGTTAATTATATGAATTGTTACTAATTGTCAAATAAAGTTAAAATTGAATTATCTTATGTTACGACGGCCATTTTAAAATCAGAAATATTTAAGTTTTGTCGACGAAGATTATTTTCGGTTACTTAAACTGTAGATATCGTGGTGTTTTATCTAAAAAAGTTGAAACATTTTTAACGGTTTGTTAATTGTGTGGTAGTTAATATATTTGAATTCGCGAAAAATTTCAAATTAATGTATTATTTTACAGATTCAGTAAATTTACAGATTTGTCAATTTAGAAATCTATACAGTTGTAGCACTGAGCGTATAATAAAATGTTTTAACTGAAACTGGAATACTGGGTATGAAAGATTATAACATAGATCTGATTTAGATGCAAAACATACTCTAATAACCATCTAAGCTACAGGATTTTTGAGAGACGTGCGTTCACTTTTCACTATCACGGTTTTTGTTAGAACGATAATTGGTAGGATTTTTAAGCTATGCTATACAGTCTTTAATCCATACAATATATTCGTTAAATAATCTGCTACGCATATAGTCGTTAAATAAGTTGTTTTCGCATTGCAGAGCTACATGATGAGCCCAAACGCGGCAAAGTTTTTGTAGCAGTGAAAAATGTAAAAATTTACACAGTTGATAAATACTACTACTACAGTAAATGTTCTTCGAAATCACGTTTCATCCAGTAATATTGTATTAAAATTATATTAGGTGCAACTAATAAAATATATTTAACACTACCTTATCTAGAAATGTTATGTGTTGTACAATAAAAATTAACACATTTTAAATAAGATTACTTCCTTAAATGTTTATATAAAGGTGAATTAACGTTTTGTTATTTGGTTTTAATAGGACGTGTAAAGAAAATTTATAAGTTAAAATACTATCAAGTTATGGTTCGGGTCAATTTGACAGAATTGTTTAAACACTCCTTTTAGATCTTATCACATTTCTTACCACACAAGTCAACATACACCAGTGAATTAAGTACTATAGCCAGTGGTCCTGGGGGTGGCCACGGAGTTGGCTCCATCATCACTGGAATAACTGGTTTTCTTAAAACATCAGCTAAGCTGGCTTCACGAGAGCACGTGGGAGAGGCTGCATATCGTGGTGTTAGACAGCAGATTACCACCTGGTAATGAAGGGTTAAACATTTTTCACTGTTTCAGTGAGATTTCTAGAAACTATATATTTGAGGCTATTTTCTAACAACCATCCTTCAAAATGTGTTGAACTAGCTATAATGTAGAACAAAATTACACTTGCTTAGAACATTTTATAAAACCTGATGCTTTAATCCAGTCTACGTGTTTGTCTAAAGCATATGTAATCTACATAATTTTTTTACAATAAAGTGTTCGTTTAAAGTACTTGTAACTACATTAGCCGCATTTTCGTAATGATTTCAAAATAAAGTGTTCCTTAATGTATTTGTAGCCACATTAGCCAAATTTTATCATATCGATTTCAAAAATAAAGTGTTCGTTTAAAGTACTCGTAGCCATATTAGGCACATTTTTCATAATTATTTCAAAATAAAGTATTCGTTTAAAGTACTTGTAGCCATATTAGCCAAATTTTATCATATCGATTTCAAAATAAAGTGTTCGTTTAAAGTACTCGTAGCCATATTAGGCACATTTTTCATAATTATTTCAAAATAAAGTAATCATTATAATTCAAATGTTTATTGTGAAACATCAAATTTAATAATCATTTTGAATATTAACATTCTATATAAAACAATCTATCTAGCTTAGTCATGGCTAGAGATAATAAAAGAGGTTAATCTATAGACAGTGGAAAAAAAAAAGTTTGAATTAATTTTCACAAACTCAAATGGGTCAACAGTTATGTTTTTCAAAACCAACCTTTGCTCCACTGATGCCTTCATAAATCTTTCCGTAAAGAGAGTCTCCACCTCCAAGCTGACCAACGTCCATCCAACAAGGATACCCAGCAAGTTCCAGCCTTCTTCGAAGTTCAAGTACAGTTTCTTGAGATTCCCACTGGTAACTAATAAATACTGGGGGTCCAGGATACTCAGGCTCTGCAGAAAAGTTCAATTGTAGCTGTCGTTTAAGAAAAAAAATGTATGATAACAATAATAATCGGTTAGGCTCTGAATGCCGAACGTTGAAGAAGGATTGTAGACCATTAGATACAAAAGTTGTAATAAAAACCACGATAGACTGAAGCTTTTTGTTTCTTCAAGTTTCTGTTAAATGGTCCATGATGGACATCAACTCCGAGATGTGCAAAAACAACGGTCTAGCCTCTTTCTCCCACGTGCTCTTTTAAAGACAAATTAATGGTCAAATTAAGAGAAGTGTTGAAAAAATTACCTGCAGTATAAAATTATTTGTATTAACAAGCAGCTTACGGTTATGTTTGGTGAAGTTGCAGGTTTGATCTATCTCTTGATTCACTCTCTACTGAGTCGCACGAGAAAGTGCTGCCCTTGGGTTATTGGTCCATCCTTACTTTAAAATGGTTTATTTTATATATGCGGGCACTATTTTATTGTATTTTTAAATGTTAGCGTTTTTTTTTTATCTAAGCTAGTTTTCACTTAACTTGCAAATTTTAAACAAGCAACCAACAACAATATAAGCATTTTTTATTTAATAAAAGCTAGTATTTACTAAAGTTACAAACTTCTAACAAACCATCAACAACAATATAAGCATTTAGTATTTAATAAAAGCGGGTATTTATTGAACTTTTCAACTTCTAAGAAACCACTAACAATAATATAAGAATGTTTTATTTAGTAAAAGCTGGGACCTACTGAAATGTTTAACTATTTATCTGGGTCTATTCATATGTGAAAAGTAAAATTATGAAATTAAAAGAGGTCTTTGATCACATTATCTATATAAACATTCGGTTTGGTTTGTTTGAATTTCGCGGAAAGCTATACAAGGGCTATCTACGCTAACCGTCCCTAATTTAGCAGTGTACGACTAGAGGGAAGGCAGCTAGTCATCACCACTCATCGCCAACTCTTGGACTACTTTTTTACCAACAAATAGTGGGATTGACCGTCACATAACGCTCCTACGGCTGAAAGGGCGAGTATGTTTGGTGGGACGGGGATTCGAACCCGTGACCTTCAGATTGATAAATATTCGGGAAAAAATGTTTTATGGATTATTACGTCTTTTTCCTACAAATCGCACAACCACTCACTAACTATTTTTAAAGTTAAGCCTATATTTATTTGCCGTATAGTATCCAGGTTTAGTGTTTCCAATAGGTGGTAAAAAAAAACAACAACATTTTACAAAGGAACTAGTTATATTGTGAAAAAATTTTAAACAAACGATGCCATTATTTTCGCAAACCAATGTTTACTTGTGTGTCGTAAAATTACTGAATAACTTTTATTTCAATAAAATTAGAGGTACTAGCCTATCACCAAAATGAATCTTAAAAAATGCAATGTTATCATAAAATTAAAGGTACTAGCCTATCACCAAAATGGATCTTAAATAATGCAATGTTATCATAAAATTAAAGGTACTAGCCTATCACCAAAA